TCCTCAGCACCAGCAGCAGCGCCACCGCTCGGCTCCGCAGCACCAGCAGCAGCTCCACCGTCCGGGTCCTCAGCTCCAGCAGTAGCTCCAACGCCCGGGTCCTCAGCACCAGCAGCAGCCCCAACGCCCGGGTCCTCAGCACCAGCAGCAGCGCCACCGCTCGGGTCCTCAGCACCAGCAGCAGCGCCACCGCTCGGGTCCTCAGCACCAGCAGCAGCTCCACCACTCGGGTCCTCAGCACCAGCAGCAGCGCCACCGCTCGGGTCCTCAGCACCAGCAGCAGCTCCAACGCCCGGGTCCTCAGCACCAGCAGCAGTGCCACCCCCAGGGTCCGCAGCACCCGGAGCACCACTCCGAAGACTGCAGCGTCGCGTGTACCACTCTCGGATCTGCTGAATGGGGGAGACCTCCTGGGTAGGAGGGGAAGTACCGGGACGAGCTCCAGCAGCACCTCTCCGGAGGCGGCAGTACTCGAGGTACCTCTCCTGCAGCTGCTGGGAGGAGAGGGCTCCTCCAGGTGTAGCACGCTCAGTCTCAGTACCCCCAGACTCCGCACCCCCAGGCTCAGCACCTCCAGGCTCCACACCTCCAGGGTCCGCACCTCCAGGCTCAACACCCCCAGGCTCCGCACCTCCAGGCTCAACACCCCCAGGCTCAGCACCCCCAGACTCAGCACCCCCAGGCTCAGCACCCCTAGACGCAGGACGAGAGTCAACAGCTACCTCGACAGGCTCACCCGGGTCTACCTGGGACACACCTGAGGGAGCGGCACCCTGAGGGGGGAGGGGGTCTGGTACCTCTGCACCTGGAGCGAGGAAGAGAGGCGGGGGGGGGAGCGGGGCAGTGCGGTAGGGGAAGAGGCGGTAGTAGGGGACGGACTCGTCAAAAGTGACGTCCTGAGAGGCCAGGACACGCCGCGAGGTGGGGTGGTAGAACTGCCAACCAGGGGCGTCCGGGACAAAGCCAAGGAAGACGCAGGGGACAGCGCGACGGGAGAGCTTGTCCGCGGACGTGTTGCGGACAAAAGCTCGGGATCCCCAGACCCAAAAACGCGACGCATCGCCAGCCTCTCCCGTCCAACGCAGTGTCGGAGAAGTCTCGGGCAAGGAGACACGGGGCCAGAGGTTGAGCTGATGCGCAGCGTATCGGACTGCAAACGGCCACAGAAAGTGGGGGGCAGCCGCATGAACCAAGGAGGTACGAGCGACCTCCATGACCAAGCCAATGCGGCGCTCAGCAACCCCATTCTGCTGTGGAGAGGCCGGAAGCGTGAACGACTACTCAATGCCCTCCTGCTGACAGAAGGCCTCCAAGAGGCCAGAGGAAAACTCTCCACCTCTGTCAGAGTGCAGACGCAGGACAGGGAAGTCGGAGCGGAAACGCTCACTAAGCTGGAGACGAGATCTGCGGATCCAAGGGATCAAGACATCAGGGACGTCACCCTTGGTGCACAAGGGGAAGACCGTGGTGTAGCGCGAGAAGTCGTCAACAACAATCAGGAAGTACCTCTCCTGACCCTGACCACGGACGCGGGCTGGGCCCCACACGTCCATGTGGAGTGTCTGCAAAGGAGCAGTCGTCGGGGGAAAGGAGGAGGAGTGAGGAGCGGCGCGCTGCCGCCCCTCGACACAGGGAAGACAGGGAGGAGCAGGTGAGTCGGGAAGGGGAGGGAGCACCCTGGGAAGACCAGCAACAAGGTCCCGTTTGTGCATGGCCCGAAGGCGCTGCACAGACGGGTGACCAAGGCGGTGGTGCCAAAGGACAGTCTCATGCGCCAGAGAGCGACACGAGCAGGGGGCGGACAGCTGACCTGACGCAGACGCAGACGTAGACGCAGACGCAGCTACCTGAGGGGACTCAGTGGTCAGTGTGTACAGGTCCGACCCCGGCTCTCGAGTGAAAGTAGCCAGGTGGCGACCCGTCCGAGCACACGTGCAGTGTGTCACGCGCTCGTAGGCAGGGGTGAACTGGTGAACACCCGAGTCCTGGAGCGCACAACCCGCCACCAAGTTCGTAGAGAACGAGGGGAGGTAGAGACCTGACAGCGTGCCGGACGGGACCGCAGGACAAGGAAGGACAGTGGAGGAGGTTGCAATGACCGGACCCCCAGAGGGGTCAGCAAGGGAGACAGCAACTGGCCGAGCGAGTGGCTCAAGGACAGTGCGGTCACGAAAGAAAGAGCGAGAAGCACCTGAGTCCAGGGTGAAGGTGTGCAGTGCTGCAGTCGACTCAGTACCAGGGGGCACAGACGCACTAGCACCTAGGGCAGCAGCCTCACCATCACCTGGGGTAGCAGACACGCGAGCACCTGGAGCAGCAGACGCACTAGCACCTAGAGCAGTAGGCTCACCAGCACCTGGAGTAGCAGACACGCGAGTACCGGGAGTGGTAGCCTCACCTGCACCGAGGGCAACAGACGTACTGGCACCGAGAGCGGCTGCCTCACTCACAGAGCGACTACCACTACGGCCACCCCGACTGCTCAAACCGGCGTACCACTCACGAGCCTGCTGGAGCAGAAGAGGGCACGGCTGCTGCACCTGTCCACTACCTGAGGCTCCCGAACGACGGACGCCAGAGCGACTACCACTACGGCCACCCCGACTGCTCAAACCGGCGTACCACTCACGAGCCTGCTGGACCAGAAGAGGGCACGGCTGCTGCACCTGTCCACTACCAGGGGCGCCCAAACGACGCACGCCAGAGCGACTACCACGCCGGCCACCCCGACTGCCCAAACCGGCGTACCACTCACGAGCCTGCTGGAGCAGAAGAGGGCACGTCTGCTGCACCGGTCTACTACCAGAGGCTCCCGAACGACGCACTCCAGAGCGACTACCACTACGGCCACCCCGACTGCCCAAGCCGGCGTACCACTCACGAGCCTGCTGGAGCTGCATCTGGCCACGTCAGGAGCAGCAGCAGTAGCGGCAGCAACAGCAGGAGCAGTAAAGGCAGTAGCAGCAGCAGTAACGGTAGCAGTGCTAGCACGGCAAAGCTCACCAGTGGTTGGTGCGGCGGGCGCAAGACAGTGGCGACAGCGTGGCCGCTGCAACAGCGGGGCGGGGCCAGGTCGTAGCAGGGAGCTCCGCGGCAGCTGCTGCAGGGTCGGCGGCGGCCGCTGCTGTAGGCTCGGCGGCGGCAGCTGCTGCAGGTCGAGCGGCGGCTGCTGCTGCAGGGTCGGCGGCGGCCGCTGCTGTAGGCTCGGCGGCGGCTGCTGCTGCAGGGTCGGTGGCGGCTGCAGCTGCAGGCGCGGCGGCGGCAGCTGCTGCAGGTCGAGCGGCGGCTGCTGCTGCAAGCTCGGCGGCGGCAGCTGCTGCAGGTCGAGCGGCGGCTGCTGCTGCAGGCTCGGCGGCGGCAGCTGCTGCAGGTCGGCGGCGGCTGCTGCTGCAGGCTCGGCGGCGGCAGCTGCTGCAGGTCGAGCGGCGGCTGCTGCTGCAAGCTCGGCGGCGGCAGCTGCTGCAGGTCGAGCGGCGGCTGCTGCTGCAGGTCGGCGGCGGCTGCTGCTGCAGGCTCGGCGGCGGCAGCTGCTGCAGGTCGGCGGCGGCTGCTGCTGCAGGTTCGGTAGCGGCAGCTGCTGCAGACGAAGTCGAAGCCGCGAAGGGGCGGCTGAGGGATTGCGACGGGCGGCTAAGGGGCCGCGATGCGTGGGTAAGGAGCCGCGACGGCGGCTGAAAGGGCCGCCACGAGCGGGTAGGGAGGTGACGACGCCACGGGAAAGGCGACGCGGCGGGCGGCGAGAGCCTGCAGCGGCGGGCAGCTCGCGGGCAGTGCGCGGAGCCGCACAAGGCTGCGACGGGTCGCGTGACAAACCCTAAGCCGCGCGCGGGCGGCTAGCTGGTCGCGCGCACGAAGAATCGGCCGCGCGCGGGCGGCTAGCGAGGCGCGCGCGCGAAAAATCGGCCGCGCACGGGCGGCTAGCGAGTCGCGCGCGTTAAAAACGAGCCGCGCGCGGGTGGCTAGCGGGCTGCGTGCGCGCGGTAGGTAGAGGCGCACGAGGGCGCGCGGTAGGTAGAGGCGCACGAGGGCGCTAAGGCGCACGAGGGCGTGCGGTAGGTAGAGGCGCACAAGGGCGCTAAGGCGCACGAGGGCGCTCGGTAGTGAGAGGCGCACGAGGGCGCACGAGGGCGCACGAGGGCGCACGAGGGCGCACGATAGGTAGGTAGGTAGGTAGGTAGGTAGCGGTGGGCCCTAGGAGCGGTCCTAGCAAAGGACCTGCTCTGATACCATGTCAGAATGAACAGGCAGGAATGGGGAACTAGAAAGGATGGTGAGTACAAATATGAAACCCTAATGTTGTGACCCCCTATAGGCTAACCCACTACAGCCTACACAAACACAACATATATAATGTTTGACATTAAAGCCGCAAAAAAAAGTAAGGGAGAGTCAGAAATTGTACTGGTACCGGAAAAGTTGCGGTCCCAACTTCGGAACGTTGAAAAGGGTCGAGAGTTTTGAGGAGTTAATATTTTCTCCCAACAGCGCTATGTTAAGGCTCCGCATTCCCCACACAAGAAGCCTACACAGCTACAAAGGCTTAGGGGAAGGTTCCAGGCCCAGGACAAATCATACTAACCCTACTTCTGTCAAAACTGAGATTGGGTTTGCAGCTTCGAGCGAGTTTCGGATGATATGTTTGTGAGTACCTATTGGACTGAAAACTCATCCGCCCATCCACCTCTCTAGGGGTGAGCAAAGGGCGAACAAGAACATGTTCGTGTTCGCCTCAGGACGAACATCACTGTTCGCCGAACCGAAAAGTGTTCGGTTCGGCGAACAGTTTAATAAGAAAATAGAGTTCGTGGCAAACACGTTCGTGTTCGCCCAGGGTGTATATTCACCATAGTCACATTCACACACACTGGCCAGATCTAGATTAGGACCCTGCATAATGAACAGTGGGGGGGTTCATGCAATGCAATCTACCAAATCCAAATACAACACGTTCTGCTTAACAACACTACTGTAGTAGCACAAAACCACCACACAACTTGCTACTACGCCATGGTCCCACTGCCTCCAACCACATCATTCCCGCCCCTCGCTGCGTCGACCCCCTCGTGCTCCTCCTCCTCCTCCTCCTCTTCCTCCTCCTCCTCCTCCTCCTCCTCCTCCTCCTCCTCCTCCTCCTCCTCCTCCTCGTCGTCGTCGTCCACATCCACCTCTTCGCCCTCAATGGCGAACTCGAGCTCTGCAACTCCTCTCGGACGCCGGCCCTCGCCAATCCTCTGGCCAGGGTTTGAACTGTACCATGACCTGAGAATCATGACAGAATGCGTCCTCTCAGAGGCCAGGCTGTGCCGCGTCCAGGAGATGAGGTTGCGGCCAAGAGAGAACACCCGCTCGCTCGCAGCGGACGTGGCAGGGATGGCAAGATAATCCCTTGCCATGCGTCTCAGCGTCTGCATGTTGGTGGCTGTGCGCTAGTACTCTAGCGCTGTCACATCGGGCCGCACCCGCTCGGACAAGTACCTGCTAACCTCGTCATCCGGCACCAGCCCACCCCCCCCCTGCCGCCTGGCTCGCCGACAGTCGTGCCGCAAGTCGCCGGCGACTAGGAAGATACTGGGCGTCCTCGTCATCCTCCTTCTCCCCCTCATCCTCCTCCCTGACGGTGGCAAGCGCAGTCGGCCGGGGAGCAAGCTCTGCAGCCCGGGCCTAGTACTCAGCCACACGCTCTCGTACCAGCGTGATCACCTCCCCGGACGAGGGACACGACCTCTCCCTCCTCGGTGTGTCAGGATGCATCTTCTCCCAACGCGCGTCGTCAAACCACACCGCTTTCATTGAGGGGTCTAGGAAGGTGCAGATCCAGTACGTGTTGCTGGTAATGTAGGCGTACTTCTTGAGATGGCGCAGCGCCGCCACCACCATCGGCTCTAGTGTCGCTGATGACCCCTTGGCTAGCCGCGCCTCCATGGCGTCGATCAAGCCGTTGTAGTATGGCACCACCATCGACACCGTTGGATACGCCGCCCCCTTAGCTGCCTTTGAAACCTTGGCGAAGGGGCTTAGGAAGGTCTTCACCACCTGCAACCTCTCCCAGTCCGCGTCTGTCAGGCGCATCTTCGCTACCTTCTTCTTGTCGTCCTTCGACAGACCCTGTCAGTGTGCGGGATTGGTATGGTATGATATGGGAAGGGTTGAAGAGTGTAATAAGTGGAATCAGATTGAATGGAGCAGTTGGGGTTCAAGCAACATACAAGCTCGACCATAAGAGTTGATCAATACTCTGAACACACCCTGCCCAACCAACAAATCAAGACCCAGCTGTCATACCTGGGTAGAGGCAAAGTACACCGTGATGGGGTTCTGTAGAGCACAGGTGCGGTCGACCATGTCGTAGGTGGACCCCCACCTAGTGGGTCTGTCCGGCACCAGCTTCAGAGCCTTCTTGTTGCTGTTGGCCTACGCGTTCAAGGTCCGCTGAAGGCCCAAGAAAGCCGCCGAGCGCTGCGGCGACAATCCTATCCACGTCGCCATGGCTCTCAAGATCCTCAACAGCCTGCGGATGGTCGCGACATCTACCGCTGCCTGCACTGCAAGGTTGATCACGTGTGCCATCACCTGCGCGTGGCAATTGGGGGGGGGGGGGGGGGGGGGAGGTGGCAGGGTGCATGCATGGCATTGTCGGTGGCATGATGCATGGCATTGGGGGAGGTGGCATTGTGCATGGCATTGTGGGTGGCATGATGCATGGCATTGGGGGAGATGGCATGGTGCATGGCATTGGGGTGGGGAGGTTAGGTGGCATGGTGCATGCATGGCATTGGGGTGGGGAGGGAGGTGGCATGGTGCATGGCATTGGGGAGGAAAGGTGACATGGTGCATGGCATTGGGGGAGGTGGCATTGTGCATGGCATTGTGGGTGGCATGATGCATAGCATTGGGGGAGGTGGCATGGTGCATGGCATTGGGGGAGGTAAGGAGACATGGTGCATGGCATTGGGGGAGGTGAGCGTACATGGTGCATGGCATTGGGGCTGGTGAGGTGACATGGTGCATGACATTGGGGGAGGTGAGCGTACATGGTGCATGGCATTGGGGGTGGTGAGGTGACATGGTGCATGGCATTGGGGGAGGTGAGGTGGCATGGACTCGACCACACACCCACACACCCCAGCACACGCTCACTCCCACACTTACAGAAAGTGCATGCGAGTGTTGAAGAAGCATCAACACCCCCCTCCTCCGACAACCGCCTGAAGGCGGCAATGTTGCTAGAGGCGTTGTCGGTCATGAGACCAAGACAACGCCTCTGCAACCCCCACTACACCACCGTCTCCTCCTCCACCTGCGCCATATCCTCGCCGGTATGACGCCCAAGAATCTCGCGGAACTCTAGCACGGCTGTGCGCAGCTGAAAGTTCTCATCGATCCAGTGACCCGTCACCACAAGCCAGGCCTTGCTGTTGGGTGCCGTCCACATGTCGATGGCGAACGACACCTTGCATCCCAACTCCCCCTCCTTCGCCATCAACTCTGCAATGGCGGACTGGAGGGCAGCCTCAGCAAACACCACTGTGTCGCGTGATACAGTCCAACGCGATGGGATGAAGTTCTTCTTTGCGCAGTTGGTGTTGAGGAGGACCAACAGCCCTCGAAACTGTATGGGAAATAGCACAGTGAAATGAAGAGATGGTTTACAAGGCAAGGAAATGTGGTGGAGAAGGAGTGGCATGTTGGCACCATCATACCATTCCTCAACATCCTCCTCAAACCATGTACAGTGTACTGTCCAAATCATGCATGCAGCACACCATAGCAGGCTTGTGAACACTCACCGCCTCGGACTCGACAACGCGGAAGGGAAGGCCACAGGTGACCACCAGCTTGGCAATCGCCTGCCGAAGCTGCGCCTGGGACAGCTTGGTCGTCATGAAGCGCTTGATCCGTCCCGACCTCTGCTCCCCTTGCCCTGACTTCCCTTTGTTCTGTGGGACATTTGGCCAGCTCTTGGCGGGAGACCAATCCTCGACGTATCCATCCGGCACACCCACGTACCCCCCCCTCTAGGAAACGTCTCGCCAGGTAACTGAACGTGTGAAGTGTGGTACCGGTGATACCACATGTGCATGTGCGCTGTGTGGTAGCTCTCAAAATGACGCTCGCCTGGTGTGGTAGTGGAACTCTTCCACGAAATCCTATCGGTACATATCTTGCACTGACACTTGTAGTCTGTCCATAGAGGCCCGAACATCTGGACTTGCCAACCCAGCTTCTTCTTCCCCTTGCCAGTCCCCTTACAACTCTCGGACCCCCCCTCTTCGTCAAGAAACTCAGGCGCGATGACACCCTCTCCCAAGGGCGCCCCAGTAAATATGCATGGATACGCTCGCGGTCTCAACTTGGAAGCTCTCTTCCTCCGCTTCGGCATCCCAATAGACGCTCGCTTCCTCCCCGCCTTAACCCCCACACTCCCACCTCCATCCGCCACGTGCTGTGAGGCTGCCTCTATCTCTACCCCTCCACCCTCTCCCACCCCCTCATCCACCTCCTCTGGCTCCAATCCATCCAACTCGTCGTCCTCGTCACCCCCCCCTTTCCCGACCACCATCCTTCTCGGGATCCCATCCCTCCTCACTGTCATCCCCGCTCCCCTCCTCGTTCGCATCCTCCTCCTCCTCTTCGTCCACATCCTCCTCATTATCACTATCCCCCGGAATCTGCCCAGTTGAAGGGGGCCGGGAGCCACTGTAACGGAACGATCGGCGGCATGTCGGAGCAGGTACGGCCAGAAACCCCCCAACGAAACAAGCCCCAGCACCAGCGGGACCGTCCCCTACTCGCCCTTGCATGGGCCGTGGTGGTGACGGGGGTGTATCGCTCTCGCCAATCCGAGCACCACCTTGATGACCGGAGGAAGCCATAGATCTACTCCAAACCCTAAACTCGAGGTAAGATAGTTGTAGAGCTCGAGTGCCACCGACGCGACTACGAATAACCACCAATGTCCCATGAATACTAACCCTAAAAACCTACGTGTCGTGGCGGATAGAATGCTCAAATGCTTAAGCGGTAGGTAACAAACCATTTGTTCCGTGATTTTATGGCATATCCGTATGAACGGGCGCCTAGGAATGTGTGTGTTTGAGCTGCTAAAATGAGCTCAAACTCAATTTGGCCGCGACCTAAATTTAGTTGCGGCCAAATTCATCGACGAACACTTTGGAGTTCGTCGCATTGTCGCGTCGAACACGAACATGTTCGTGTTCGACGCGACTTGGCCAGCCGGGCCAGGCGAACCTCGAACATGTTCGGGCGAACATCGAACATGTTCGCCATGAACATTTTTTTGCCAACAAAAAAAGCCTGTTCGGTTCGCCTTGAACATGTTCGAGGCGAACCGAACAGGCGTTCGTGGTTTTGCTCACCCCTACACCTCTCTCTACGGCGCACCGGTTTTCTTCAGTCCAAAGCCGGACGGTAGTTTACGGATGTGCATCGACTTCCGGATACTGAACAAACAAGCAGTAAAAAATGAATACCCCATACCGCGCATAGACGATCTTCTAGACCAACTACATGGTGCAACAGCGTTTTCAAAGCTGGACCTACGGCCGGGTTACTGCTGATCAAGATGGCAGACAACTCGATCCACAAGACGGCGCTCCATATAAGATATGGCTCCTACAAATGCTTAGTAATGCCGTTCGGACTCTTCAACGCTGACGACGTTCCAGATAGGGATGGATCACATCCTACGGCCCCTACTGTGCATAGTAGTGTACTAGGACAATATACTGATCTACTCCAATAACATGAAGGAGCACGTGAAGCATTTGCGGAAAATCTTCGAGATATTGCGAGAAAACAAATTATACGCGGAGCTGAGTGCCAAGGGCGTAAACGTGGACCCACAGAAGATCGAAGCCATAAAAAAATGGAAAGTAGTTCCTAGGCTTCAACAACAACTAAAACATATTTGTGCCACACTACGCTAAGATAGCAGCATCAGTGGCGAACTTACTGAAAAAGGATACGCCCTATAAATGGGATGCTCGTGAACATCAAGCCATGGAGCAACTATAGACAGCACAAACTGATCCTACCGGGTCCAGACAGAGACTACGTGGTGGAAGCAGACGCTTGTGGCCAGGCAGTTGGAGTAGTATTGATGCAGGATCACAGACGCGGTTTGCAGCCCGTCGTCTACATCAGTAAAAAGCTGCACGAAGCAGAACTGAATTACCCAATCCATGACAAGGAAGCCTTAGGGATAATGACAACCTTCAAGGCATGGATGTGTCATGTAGAGGGAGCAAAAACTATAGTCTACACTAACCACTGCAGTCTCAAGTACCTTAAGTCACAGCCTACGCTTTCACGACGACAGGTGCGATGGATGGAACGTCTAGAAACACACTTCCACTACGACATCGTCTACAAGCCCGGGCTCCACAACAACGCCGACGCACTGAGCCGCCTAGGGCACATAGCAGGCATCCAGCTTGACAGGATGAACCCTCTGCACAGGGTGTGTTCCAACATGGGTACTCCATGGATGCATGGATCGCTACAGCACAGAAACAAAAGCTGTTACAGTGGGAGAAAGACTTAGCGGTAAGGGAAGGTTCAGGAAACATTAAGATACCGAACTATGCCCCGTTCCGACAGATCTTACTGGAGGAGTTCCACGACGTGGCATACGCGGGACGTTTTGGGAGTAACAAGCTGTTAGCAGGGATAACAAAGTATTTCTACTGGCCTCGGATGGCAGCGGATGTGCAGCAGTTCGTCACCACATGCGACATGTGCCAGCGGATGAAGAGTAGCAAGCAGAAAAAAGCAGGGTTACTTCAGCCTCTACCCATACCGAAGCACTCATGGTTAGTCGTTAGCCTGAACTTCATCACTAGGCTTCCTTCGACCTCACGAGGGCATGATGCTATACTCGTGGTGATCGATAAGTTCTCTAAAATGGGTCACTTCATCCCGACCAACGCCACAGCTACTGCCGAAGCAACTGCTCGCCTCTTCTTCGACCGCATCATCACCATCCACAGTATCCCTGCTAAACTCATCTCGAAAAGGGACCCAAAGTTCACAAGTAAGTTCTGGAGGGAACTCATGGGTTTGTTGGGGACAAAGCTTGCAATGTCCTCTGCATACCACCCCCAGCCTAACGGATAGAGAGCGATTTAATCAGGTGGTTGAACAATTACTGCGCACAGCTTGCAAAGACGACATCAGCCACTGGGATTTTTAGTTATCGATACTGGAGTTCGCTTACAATAACGCAACACATGCAGCCACAGGGAAATCTCCTTTCTTCCTGTGCTACGGACGGGAACCACTTACTTACACCGTAGCAGCCAACCAGACCGGCACACGTCCAAGCTGCACAAGACTTTGTCACCACCTTGCAGTAGCTATGGGAGAAGACTCAGCAACATCTCATCACGATGCAGATTTCTAGAAGCAGTATGCCGATCGACAGCGACGTGATCACTCGGTAGCAGTCGGAGATCAGGTGCTTCTTGACACACGCAACTTGGACTTGTCCCATCTTCCGTCCAAGCTTTGGCCTCGCTTCCGTGGTCCATTTCGCGTTGAGGCGATGGTGACATAACTGACGCCTTATAAGGATCCCAACCAGATGTTCTAGGGACGATAGCTATCGCCAACCAACGGTTCCATGTTCTGCTGTTGCGTCTTCCTTAGTCACTAAGCTAGTAGACGTTGCTACTGCGTGTCACCTTGACTACGTTGCAAATCTTGTTTCAAACCATGCTTTTAACTGCCCTCCCTCCGTCGGGGGTGAGTTTGAGCTAAAGTGCCTTGCGGTTGCTGTACCTCATCTCGCTGCCATGCTACTTGCCCCTGAGGGAGACCCGGATGCACTTGGTTGAAGGCATGCCTTATTATTATGAAAAGTAGAGATTAAGACATTTCCAACGCATAGCTGCTCATATTTTTAGGTTACACGAGGCGAATACACCGCACTCCAAAGGCTGGAATAAGAGGCGAACGATGCCCTATAGCAGTACCTCCACCTTGAAAAGTAGATATCGACTAAGGCCTGGATTTGGGAGGCGTTGATTTTTTATGAGGCTCGCAAGCGTGATGCTGGTAGTGTTGGATGCACGTCAATCTGAGTGCATGTCATCCTAACGTCCTGCCGAGTGCTCGTGCCATTTGTGCTTGCATAATTTGCATGAGCATATGTCATTATGCATGGCTGTTGGATTTTACCATCTCTGTGTTTTTCTCCAAGTCTACATGCTTTATCATGCAGGAGAAATCCAGAGCTTTCCAACGATACCAAGATCGCCTTATTCCGACCAAGATCGCCCAAGTTACAAGATTTCCAAGTTTTGGGAATTCTATCTCATTTTGAGATATTATCTACATTGGGCGATTATTGGGACATGAATAGAAAGGGATCTTTGGTTGGGTGGTTAGGAAGGCAACTTTGACTTTTGGATTGGGGTGGCTAGAAGTTTCTAGCATGGGTTGCAATTGTTGCAACACCTAGGCAAAATCCAACTAGATTGCATGTGGCACCTCAAGGACCTCATGATGAGGGTTGCATCCTTGCTGCTAGGAAGGTTCTTACCATCCTTCCCTAGCTCTTGGAGAACCCCTTCCCTCTCATGGTTCTCTTGGAGTCCCCAACTCCAACCTTCCTATGCTCTAATGTTTGTACTCCCTCTACCACTCTAGTTATGCAGCAGCTGGAAGTTTTCAATTGGTTCTCACTCTATAGACCATCTTTTTAAGTGATTAAATTTGGACATAGTAGCTAAGCGTAAGGGGCAAC